AATTATAAAACAATTAAAATAAAATAATATAATATAATAAAATTAAAGATAAAAATGTATATATTATAAATTATGTATATAATATACAATTATATATTATATATATGGGCGATGTTAGACTGTGCCGTGCTGGCCAACAATTGTGGGAACATCAACCCCAGAAGTAGACAAATAGTCTTTTTCAACCCATAGCTAAGTTATTCATTAAACCAATTAACCTATAACTTGGCAAATTTTCCAGGTCTATTTCATTATTAAACCACTTGGCTACAAATAAAATTGTTGGCCTGGTCAACAACCATTTGACCTATCATTAAATCATTTGACCCAATCAATGATTTATAGGTTAAAACGTCAAATACTAATTCTTATTTTTCTATTTTTTATATTAATAAAAAATAATTCTTTTTACCATACTTATTTTTTCTAAACATAATGAATGTATATATGAATAGGTATGCCAAAATTTTGCTTTCACTCTTTTTTTTTTTTCACACCATTCCAAAACTAGTGTGGCTCCACTTCCCAAGAATTGATAAATATAAATATTTATCATAATTCCTTTTTTCTAATTTAATTAAAAAATAAAGAATATTCCACACGTGTATTGTTATTTAAGAAAGAATAATCCCTGACCCACAAGTGTATTGTTAGTTGAGGCTGTTGAGCCCATGGTCTTAAACAGGTTTTTTGCAAATAATTTTTTTTGGGAAAATTACACTTTAGTTGAGGCTGTTGAGCCCATCGTGTCAAATTAGTATCCCAAATTTTTTAAATGTGTTATTACAGTACTCAAACTTTAAAAGAGTGTCAATTTAGTCTCTGTCATTTAACAGTTCCGTCAGTTATCTTATCACGTGGATGAGATGTACGTACAACTTCAATTTTTTGAAAATATCAAAACTACCTTTAAAACAAAACGATGAACTCCAACCTATGAACCAAAAACATCATGCACTACTTACAGTCGGACCCATCAACACTTGACCCACGAACAAGTCCCTGTCGAAGCGAACCAAAGCAGCCCCAACAACGTGGATTGTGGAGTGATCAATGAGTTTGCTAGTAAGCGCGGTGGCACCTCCACTCCACCACAATTGCATCTGTGGCCTCTCGCCTTCTTTTACTCCAACGATGTCTTCAGTTGTTCTTCCATCGGTTTTCCTACAGAAGATATCTCTCAGCGCGTCGGAATCATTGAAGAGCTGTAATTCATTGAGTTTTACGGGTTTAAGGCATGGAATTCGAAGCTTTTACTCTAAAATTCTAGAGTCTCCGTGAGCGTTTCAATTGGATCCCAAGCAGCTGTTGATGACGCCTTGATTCTCAATTATAAGCGGTCATGCGCATTTCTATTTCCTGGTCAGGTTGGAGAGATCGGTTTTCTTTTCCTTCACTCCGAATCTGAGTCTGGTTTAATTGATTGTTTCTTTCTCTCTTCTTGCAACTTAAGCATGGGATCTCTAATCTCTTCTTGCAACTCCCTATGACCTCCTGGCTAAGGGAAGCAAGTTGGTATTAAGTGAAGCCAAGGGTCTCAGCTGAGCTCAGAGGCATTAAAGCAAACCAAACCCATTACCTCATTATAGGAATTAAGAAAAGAAAAGGAAGATTTACCAGAACAATTAATGGTTCTTGAGTTTTTTACCAGCAAAGTCGGTAGCCAGCTTTCCATTACAAAACCTCCCTGTTGCTCTCTCTCTCTCGTCCTCAAATCCGGAGGTGACACCATCGACAATGCGGGACCCATGACACTTTTGAAAAAAAATTGAAGTAGTGCAGTAACCACACGTACTACAAGTTCGGATACTAAATTGACACACCACCCCCAAAGTTGAGGTTATTTTTTTATTATTTCGCAAATGACTTTATTTGCACCAATGCAAACCTGACAACATTGCTCAAAAAGAAAAGATCCAATCAAACCAAATCCATAACTCCATTTGTTCACGTCAACTTTTCTTTTCCACACCCTACGTTGCGTTATACAGATCAACCATCATCCAACGATGCATCTTAATGTGACGGTGATGGTGTCTTGTCCTATTATACACTTCACTTTTTGTTGAAGGGAAAATTCTACTTTAATACCTTAAATTTGAAGTAATGTCAACTTAGTATTAAAACTTTACATTATTATATTCATACTTTTAAAAAGTGTCAAATTAGTCTAAAATTATTAACGGGCGTTAATTATCATGTAAAAGGATAAAAATATCCTTTACATATCATTTAGTTTTCTTATAATTAATATTCGATCTCTAATCAGTAACCACCTCCGACATCAAGTTGGTTATGGATTTAGGCACGGACTCAAACAAACAATAAAAAGGGAATAAACAAAAAAAAAAAAGAAACTGAAGTGAGGCTATGCACCAATGCCAGTCCATAAAATGGCATCATTACAGCACAGCTCCAATCTACTAGGAGCTGAGCTGAGTCAACAATATTCAGAAGAACGATAGACTTTTTCACTAGCTGATAGACATGTGTCCATGGAAGACTATAGATTCCTCCATCTAGGACTTGAAATAGGGAGACCAGATTTGTTCCTCACAACTGACGCCTCACACACACATTTTATCATGCATTGGGAATATCTCCTATATTTATGAATAAATATTTACGGAAGATGTTTCAATACACGGTGAGTGAATGTACGTGTGAGGCGCCCATTTGTAAGGAGCAAATCCTGTCACAGAAATAAAGAAGTATCCCAAAGGAGAAGGTGGGAAAAAACCCGGGGACAGTGGGGGTTGTGGGCCATGACCCAAAATCCCTGATTGAGAAAGTGGTGAGAAAGAGAAGTTGGGTGAGATAGGCTACTGAAACCCAGGGCCCAGGGGAAGAAAAAGGATAAGGGGAGCGAGGGGACAAAAGATTCAACAATGAGCTTGGGGATGGCAAGGGAAATGGACAAGTTGGAGAAGGCAAAAGGGCAGGACCATTTGCCCGTGGTGTCGAGATAGGTAAGGGTGACGGTTGACGACTAAGCTAATTGGGTCTGACAAATTTGTTGTTGAAAGGGGGAGGAGGAGCCAGTGCAGGAAGGATCTGAGGTCGGTTAATTGGAGATCAAATCAGCCCCCCTACAACGTCGCACAGCACATTTGTGATCTGTATTGGGAATATCTCCCGATGATAATATCAAAAATGATGATGTCATCATCGGGAGATGTTCCCAATACACGGCGGAAGTGTATTGTAAGACGTTGTGGGGGTAATCTTGTTGGGGACTGATTCGAACTCGGATAATTGCCGTCAATGGAGGTGGATGAATTTTCTACAAATGCATACTCTTGGGTTTGGGCGGATTCTGTGGGGGATGAGGCAAAGGGTCTTGTGAGGGCGGACCCGTCAACAATACTCCGGAAATCATTCTTGCTGATAATGTAAACCTGGAGTTCAAATCAGCCCTATACAAGAGTGCCCTCACAACCTCCCACAGTACATTTCCACATGTATTGGGAATATCTCCCGATAATAATATCAGAAATGATGATATCATCATCGGGAAATGCTATCAATACACGGCCAAGATGTGATGTGGGACATTGTGAGGGACAGTCTTGTGGGGGCTGATTTGGTCTCGTAAACCTGTGGCTGAGGTTGTTGCTTAGGGTTTGCAAAATTCGGTTGTTGCATAGGGCTCTTCTTAATGTTCTTCCCCAGCTTGTTCACCCCTAGATGTTGCAGTATGCCAACCAAATAGGGTGGGACGAATTGGAGTGGGATCGGATACATACCTGAAGAATAGCATTTGCAAATGCGTTAAGAGAGAAGAGGTTTGAGTCTGACAACCCAAGCTTATATTTCCAAATTACCGTCTTGAATTATTGAAGGGTAGTTTTGAAGTTTTTAAACATTTTAAGTTGCACATGTCATCATGTAATCATATTATTCGTTAAGGGTAGGGATCAATTTGACACTTTTTGGAAGTTTGGATACTTCAATGACACGTTTTAAAGTTTAGGTACTAATTTGATACTACTTCAAGGTTCAAGGTATTGAAGTAGAATTTTCCCTTTTGAATGAATTATACTTAACACTCTCCTTTTATTTTAGAAAATTTCATTAATTTTCCCTTTTTGTTGAGTAAATTGCTGAAGCTTTTCTGAAATTTCTAACCATTGTTAATGCCTCCCTGAAGTTTGGTAATTGCAATCATCAACTTTTTAATACAGTTATGAAGTTTGGTAATTATAACCACCTCCCTTGAACTTTTTAATACTGTAAATAAATCCCTTTTATTAAAATTAAAATCCTCTAACAAAAAAGTATGAAAATATCTAAAATACCTATGTAATTACTTTTGACCAAAATGTTTATTTTTCAATTTTTTTTTTCTTTATATCAATCATTACTTCAAATCCTTCTAATCTCTCTTTTAAAATTGATTTATCTTACAAACTAAGCATCATAAAAATAAATAAACACTAGATCCGTAGGTAGTTCACCACAAAAAATTCACCGTTATTATCAGATAGATGAATTAACCAATCAGTTACTTGGTTTGCTTCTGGTAGACATGTTAATACCTAATATTCACTCCATCAACATCAACTCTGTTTTTGGGTTCTTGACGAAGTCGGTAAAAAACAGTGTTAATCATAATTGTAATTTTGGGTCTGTGCCAAAATACTTAAGAGAGAGAGGTAATTACAATTAATAAATTTTGCAGTAGGTTTCAGCAATGTTCAGAAAATTAAGGGATGTATCAGCAATTTACTCTTTTCTTTTTCTCATGGATAACATGAATGAACTCCCCTTTGGCCCTTTCTCATTCAATTTTTGCTATCACTTATCCCATGATTTGCCACTTGTCAGGTCCAGGGGCTAGCTCAATCACAATTTTCAAAAAATAAGGAAAGAAAGTATTTTATTGTTTTGCTTTCGCCAGCCAATGGTGGAAAAGCACTTCTCAAAGGCTTATCCTATTCTCTCTCTTTTTCTCTTTTTCCTTGTGTTTGTTTTTTGATATTATATAATTACTTATCCAAAGTTGGATCAACAGAAAAAAGAAAGAAAGAAAGAAAGAAATCCAAAGTTTCCAACGATCCTAGCTAGATCAACGAAATAACTTCCATTGATTGAGCGGAGCCACAGAATTTTCTTTTCCCATCTTCTGCAAAAGGCTATAAAACGGGAAGACCCTTTTCATCAACTCTTCTCTTCTGTTTCAATTTTCAGAGTCTCTGGGAGTTTCAACTTTGGAAAAAGCAAAGAAATAACATAGGGCACCGCGCTTTACTGCTTTACGTCCTCCATGGCTGAATCTCTGATCAAAAGCAACATGTTCTCTCTATACCCCCATTTCTGCATCTCTGTTTCCCCCAAGAAATCTTCTTCTCTTTCTGGGTTTCCTTCTCTTAGCCTCCCACCTCTCAAATCCTCCTCCAAGAGCGATTTTCATGGCCGGAGAATTGTCTTGCGTGAAAGGGAAAGGAACCCTAATACCGGAAGTCTACAGGCTTTGTCCCCACAGGTTTGTAAATCCCCTCATACGAAAAATCTGATGTTTCAATTTCAGATTCTTCTTCTATTTTAGTCTACGTGAATTTCTTTGCGTTCATAGATAGATCCCCAACAAAATTAAAAAAAAAAGAAGGGGAAAATGGTTTCCATGATAGAAAAATCTGTTTCTTTCTGGGTATTGGTTTCCTTTTCCCTGAATCTATTTTTTCTCTTTTTACTGTTGTTCAAATCTCTATTGATGCGGCTTCTTTTATGTATTTTCTGTTTTTGAACAAACGATGGGTTTGAAGAACAGACTTTAGTGGGTTTTTCTTCATTTGGCCTAAAAGTTGCTCTGTCTTTCTTCTTTTTTTTCTTCTTTATTTTTTTGTTTTCCTTTTTGCTTATTTGGTTCTTTGGATGTTTTTAAAATCTTTTTTTTTTCAGTGAAGTTGTTTTCCGGTTTTTGTTAAAATTCTCTCTCCGTCTATCTTGCTTCAGTCTTTTAAGGTCTATCTGATTTCAATGTTCTCTTTCTACTCTTCTGATTTGCTATGGGGGAATTTTTGTTAAAATTCCCTCTCCGTCTATCTTGCTTCACTCTTTTAAGGTCTGACCTGATTTCAATGTTCTCTTTCTACTCTTCTGATTTGCTATGGGGGAATTGCAGATGAGCCATTTGATTGGGAAACCACAGAAATGGTGGGAGAAGGGACTCCAACCCAACATGAAAAAGATTACTTCTGCAGAAGATCTTGTCAATTCTTTACTAACCGCAGGAGATAAACTTGTTATTGTGGACTTCTTCTCTCCAGGCTGTGGAGGATGCAAAGCATTCCATCCGAAGGTATGATTAATCTCTACCATTATTCATCATAAGGAAGCAAATATCAGTTCCATTCATTTCTTTTTTTTTTTTTTTTTGCTTCTTCCAAAGTTGAAACTCGATACCAAAATCAAAGAAAAGGGTTTCACGGGCTTAAATCCAGACTTTTGTTTTGTTCTTTTTCTTTATACAGGTATGTCAATTTGCAGAGATGAACCCAGATGTACAGTTTCTTCAAGTGAACTATGAGGACCATAAATCAATGTGCTATAGCCTTAATGTCCATGTCCTTCCCTTCTTCCGGTTTTATAGAGGAGCCCACGGTCGTCTATGCAGCTTTAGCTGCACAAATGCTACTGTAAGTTGTACTTCACCTCGTAATTTAGTAAATTACTTGAGAAAAATTACACAATTTTTCTTCATTAATATACATTTGAAGGTCCATTTTGTGAACTGTATTTGCTTTCTTTTCAACTTGCTTTGGGTTCCAAAGATCAAACAATTGGTTAAATTTCTTTTCAACATATCACGATTGATTTTTTTTTTTTTACGTTTTTAGGTTCTTTTTCTATAGAAATTTTGTTTCATTTTAGTATTATTTTGCACCGGTGTTGAAGAAACATTTCCTGGTTTCACAGATCAAGAAATTCAGAGATGCACTGGCAAAGCACAACACGGATCGTTGCAGCCTTGGACCTCCAAAAGGGTTGGAGGAAAAAGAGCTCCTTGCTTTGGCTGCTAACAATGATCTCTCCTTCACCTATACACCAAAGAAACCAGTGCAACCAGATGCCGTACTTGTTACAGTAGCAGAAGCATCTCCTGCAAGCGTAGATCCCCTTGTTCCATCAACCTCAAAGGCCATTCAAACTCAAGATTCTGGGAAAGCCTTGGCCACGGCTGGGAGATGATTAAAATAATTTCATAAGCCCATTTCTGTTTTGCTTTTGTTGTATAGTTCTGTTGTAGAAGTATCTGCAGGTGGGGATGTGGGATCAAACAAGTGAAAGAGAGAGGGACTGTGTTTCAGTGTGTGTGAGAATTATGGTTGGTTTGCTGTATATAATAGATGGATGTCCAGTGGTGTCAGGCTTTGTGGTGTTTTTAAGATCATAGCCTGCACTTCTTGAGACGTGAGGAAGAAAGGGAATTTGTATGTTGTGCTCTCGATTGTAACAACTGTTATCATTCATTAGCAATTTTAAAGGAGATGCTGGATATTGGAGTGGTTGTTGCATTTAGAGTTGAGATCCTCAGTAATGTCCTCAGTCTTCTTATAAGTTGTAAACAAAGAAACGGATATTCATATTCAGTGAAAGAGGGATATTATAGATTGTCAATTTTCAATCTCATCCTCCATTTTCTTCTGGTTAGAATCATTTAGTTGATATGGTAACTGGGTGGATATTGAAAAGGAATGAATATTTGTGGTTTGTGATGAAGATGAACTTTTATTTTTTGAGAAATGTATAGTAGATTGTAGAAGGTGGTAAAGGTTGTTTAGAAGCATCAAGCGTTCCCTTATTTTGTCTGCATAGATCATAGATGCATGGTAAGATGTTATGTTCCTCTTTAACCTTGTGTGGTTGCTGTTGTTCATCTATGTGGTCCATAGGACTCGAGCTGTGAAATACTTAGAAAAGATGAGCCCAAGTGTCAAGAGGAGAATGAAGGATGGGACTTGGGAATTGAGAGAGGCGGATAACGCGTCCGAGAAGATGAGATAAGGTCAAGCACAAGGGGGAAGTTGCGTTGCTGTGTGTTATTGGAAGCATGAAGCCATGAACGCCTTTCAGATGTCCACACCTGGGTGGCTGATTGAAATTCTTTTGAACGTGGAAATGGAAATGGAATTTTTTTTTATCTTTTTATCGCCCTTCAGTTTGACGTTCGAAAGCATACCATACAATACAATACCACACGCATACAACTCTGATGTCTGATTTGGTCTCTCCACAAACACAAACAACACGTGGTTGCCCTCTCTGCCAAATGTTTCAAACTAAAACCAACCCTGAGAAGGAATATCCATTTGGCTGAAACCTTTCCGACAACAGCACAAGTGCAGATGTCGACCTGCTTCCATTTATCTGCAACTGGTGAAACTTCGTGGATCTCACTAAATTTCAAAACCATGATGAGGTCAGGCCGGGGCCGCGATGGAGACCATTCATTTTTTTTTTAAGTTTGGATGATTGAGACAAATGATAATGATTGATACTTCAAGGGTATTTATATCTTTTCAAATGTTATTTAACGGTTGTTTAACTACTGTTGAACGGTAGCTATTAAATTGGTGGTAGTTTTAAAAGTTTGAGTATTGAATTATGGCATTTTAAAGTTTGGGGACTGTAACATTAGACCCAAAGTATATGGTTATAATCGGTAATTTTTCCTTTATAATATAATATTTTAATAATTTTTTTTTAGTTTAATTACTAATATGCAATGTCTGAACCCAACCAGAGAAGAGCCCTATCTAACTACATTAAATAGAAAAGTTTAGATAGAAAAAGGGAGATCTTCATGCAATTTTCATTGATCTAGAGAAAGCATATTGTAGAATCCTTAAGAAGGTATAAAAAACAGAATGACAAAAGAATCAAGGTTTTAAAAATCGACCTGAAAATGGAACCATTTTAATCACTAGTTTTTGGGTCAGTAGTTTGACTGTCCGAGTTGAACAATTTGGGTGGTTTGACCTTTAGATTTGAAATTTAGTATATTAGGGTTTTATCTATTCTTTTATGAGAAGAGAGAACTAGAGCTAGGTAGCTGTTGGCTGAGAAAAGAAGAAAGGAAAGAAAGAAAAAAAGGAAAGAAAAGAAGAAAAAAGGAAAGAAACAAAGGAAGGAAAGAAGAAATGAAGGAAGAAGAAGATGAAGATGAAGATGAAGATGAAGATGATGATGATGATATGAAGAAGGTAACATTCACTTGTGATGGCGGTTGCAATGGCAACCTCCTTTTCTGGTCTCAAATTTGATATCCCATTTCTATCTTTCTCTAATCTCAAATCTCATGCCACCTCTCTCTCTCTCTCTCTCTCTCTCCCTCTCTCTCTCCCTCCCTCTCTCCCTCTCCCTCTCTCTCTCCCTCCCTCTCTCCCTCTCCCTCTCTCTCTCTCTCTCCAATTTCAATGATCTCAGATATGAGATCGTGTCTCAGTCCTTTTCCTATCTCTCAATCTCTTTTTTCTTCATCACAAATGATGAAGGGTGGCTTGGCCCGACCTAGCGAGAAGGGGACACGTGGACACGACCTGATTAAGGGATGACAGCTCAGCCTGGCAAGCCTAGTTCGCAACATTTGGAGATTGGGTATTCAGTCACCTCGGCCCAAAACTCACCTCAGCGTCGAGGCACCTCGACATCCAATCTAGTTCGAAACTAAAGAATCGAAGTATCAACTCAGAGCTGACAACCCAAATCGCAACGTAACCGACTCTAGAGGTCTCTCCAACGGATCCCAAGTTACTCGGGATCACGATGAGCTAATAGATCCCAACTTTTCCGAGATCACGATGATAACTCATCTTGGCTCCGCCAGAGTCGGAAGTGAAACGATAAGCCTTATCTACGTACTGCTCCTTCGGAAGCGGAACGAACCCTATCTCCACACCCCGGAGATCCCGGAGCTCTTTCGTGAGACCCACAACTACTCTAGTATATAAAGACAGGAACTTCAAGGCAAAGGTACGCGTGATTACTCTACTCTCTAGCTCTCAAGCACTCAACTCGCATTTACAACATACTGACTTAAGCATTGGAGCGACCTCACCGGGTTAGCCACCCCAAGTTCTCTGGTAGATTGTTTTGCAGACTAATCCAGCTCACTGTCCACCTGGAGTCTGGATCGTCCTCCAGCTGGGAGTAGTCAGATCGCGCACCATCAATTGGCGTCGTCTGTGGGAAATCGATCGAAAGGTCATTCCTACCTCCTTGCAACTTCAACTTCAATGGCATCTTCCAGCCACACCGGGAAAAGTGTCGAGATGAACACCACCGGAGGGCAAGCCCAACATCCAACCTTTCCCCAAGCTCCTACGGTGTGCAACAAACAGTTCACCATTCTGCTCACAGCGTCTGGAGTCCCATCATTAACTGCACCATTGAGCACCACACAGGTGAGCGCCCCGCTTCCCCCGGTGGTAGGCACAACTTTCTCTAAGCCCTCCGTGGTTCCTCCCGGAGTGGGGAGTTCCCAGTTCCACGACCTCGTTCAGTGCATCCGGGCCATTCAGATCCAGATGCAGTAGATCCAACAGTTTCAGCAGTACCAACATTATTACTTCTACCAGCAATATCAACACCAGTTCCCTCCACTACAGCCAAACCAGCAGTCGGTTCCACCTCGGCACCCAGGGCCCCATCACAATCAGAACCCGAATCGCCTTGGAGTTAACCAGAACATCAACCGATCCCCCCATCGGGGCAAAGAGACCTCACAAGCATTGATTCCTCTCAGGAGTCAGGTCTCACCCTAAGGGAGGAAAGACGGTCAACACACTCCACCGGCCTCGCAAGGAAATCATAGAAATAGGTTCGGGGATAGTCAACTGAATCCGCCTCGGTACTCACAGCAAGAGAATGATGGTTCACAAGCAGATAACCAGTTCGGGATTCGAGGTGCGAACTCAAGACAGGACCTCTCCGTCTCCCGTGATAGTCAACCCCAGAATCCTTCGAGAAACCAGGATCTGCCTCATGACAGCGCTGCAACACTAGATTAAAGTGAAGTCAGTAGCACTAATGTCGAACCAGTGAGCAAACAGTAGCGGAGACATCGCAAGACATGCCGCACCTCGATCAAGAATAGCCCGCCAACAAAGCCAAGCCAACAAGAAGAGCAAACCAAAGGGAAGGAAGAAGCGAGCTCGGTGGCTACAGAGACCGCTCCTCCATTACTTTGCAGGTCATCTCCTCTGTCTACCAAGCTCTTGGCGGCCCCAATGCCAAAAGACTTCAAGATGCCCTCGTTAGACAAGTACGACGGGTCCTTCGATCCTAATGACCATGTGGATTCTTTCCAGTCCTAGATGCACTTGGCTGGGGCTGATGAGTCTTGCATGTGCGTAGCCTTCTCTACTACCTTTAAAGGGGTAGTTCGAACATGGTACCGGAACCTTGTGCCGGACTCAATCAAAAGCTGGTCGCAGTTCGCTGACTTGTTCACTGCACATTTCATCACCAGAAAAAAGTGCCCGAAGTCCCAGGAAAGCCGTCTCAATGTGGTTCAGAGGGAAGGAGAATCGATCAAGAGCTACATCAAATGCTTCAGTGACACATGCCTGCAAATACCGGATCTCGACCCGCTAGTGAGGCTCAGTGCAGCCAAGAAGGGAATTACCCACAGGGAGTTCAAATGGCATGTTGTAGCAAACAAACCGAAGGACATTACCGAGTTCGTAAAGCTCGCAGATCAGTTCGTTAGTACCAAGGAGGAGATCAATCATATGGTCGATAACCCACCCTCGAAGAAGCGGAAGAAAGAAAGTGAAGGAACGAGCAGTGATGAACAGAAGAGGAAGAAAAGCAAGTCCCCAAGTAGGGGAAGAAACAACTCTAGAAGTCGGTCCCTCTCGCGATCTCGTAAATCAGGTCGGCACTCCAGGACCCCTTCTGTGGAGAGAACGAACTACACACCTCTGAATGCTAAAAGAGGAGAGATCTTAATGGCCATTAAGGATTCCTCCTTCGTCAAATGGCCTCCCAGGTTAAGAGGAGACCCAACAGCAAGAACCCCAAACGTTTATTGCCACTTTCATCGAGATCATGGGCACAGTACAAATCACTACAGGAACCTCCGCGATGAGATCGAGGAACTCATCCGACGTGGATACTTGAACAATTTCATCTTGCGCGAAGAAAGAAGACAGACAGATCGGTAGGAAGACCGATAGGGAGATCAGAGGAATGCCCCAGAAGCCAGCAAACAAAATGAGCAACTGCCACAACAGTTTCCAGAAGAGTGACCGATCCGCAGGGTAATTAACATGATTACCGGCGGGTCCATTATCGCGGGGTGTACCTCAGCAGCCAGGAGGACCTCAGTGCGCGAGCTAGAAAATGAAAAAGAAAACCCGCCAAAATGACCTCAGCTTGAAGGACCGATATACTTCACTGAAGACGATAAACACGGGATCTAGTATCCTCACAACGATGCACCAGTAGTAAAGTTGTGGATCAATGACTTCGAAGTAAAGAGGATACTAGTAGACTCAGGCAGATCGGCCGACGTACTCTTCAAAGAGATGTTTGACAAATTACAGCTATGGCAGAGCAACCTAAAACCAGCAGACACCCCTTTAGTAGGGTTCAGCGGCGAGGAGGTCAGACAT